AAAATGTACCCTTATGACTGGTTTTGTGGTCCAGGGTCACATATTAATTTTATATTCATTAAATTATTTCAATCATTTTCATTTCAAATATTTATACACACACACATATATTTATAGGTCAGTTTTAATGTCACGTTTAATGTGTCTTTGCTGATTAAAAATATTTCTAGATGCATTTGTTTAATATTATGTTTAAACGTGTAATGTTTATATATTTCTAATGCTGTAAGCTGTAATTTTCTCTCTGGTTCTCAGTGCTGCTGGAACTGCGGTCGGAAGGCAAGCGAGACATGCAGCGGCTGTAATGCGGCGCGTTACTGCGGCTCCTTCTGTCAGCACAAGGACTGGGAGCGACACCATCTCATCTGCAGCCCGGGGCTCCAGGCGCAGCCCAAATCCATGCCACGCGTCCTGGCCAAAGCTCCGGAGAGCGGCCCGGTCCCGAGTCCAGGCCTGGAGAAAACCTCCAGAGCATCCACACCAGCGTCCTCCTCCACGCCAGACACCAGCGGACACTGAGAGCCAAGGACTCAATGAAAGAGGAGTTTAGCTGCTGGATGTGACAGAAGCTGGACAGTCACACACACTTTTCCAGTTCATGGACAGGAGGACGTGTTTTGGCACCGCTCTGCGTGACTCAGCTTGCTTTTTTGGTGCAAATGTGATCTGTTTTACCCGCACAAACTGTTGTCAGTGTTTCGTGAGCGTTTGTTTGTTTGTGTGTGTGATTGTGTCTGTAAATACAATATCAGAGCAATATAAAAGTGATGGATTCACCAAAGCTGTCAATGCTGTGACCCGTTCATTATTATCTGACAGTGTTATCAGAGTTGCCATAGAGAATGTGTGTGTGTTAAACGTGGAAAACAAACCCTGGTCTGAAGGGACCAGTTTTGATCAGGGTCCAGATGTACGATCAACAGCTTCCGGTACAGATTAATCCACCAAACCAGGTCTTGAGCTGGTCTGTTTGTATCCACATGCGAAGCTCTGCGATCTCAGGAGGATGTTATATGTATATACTTTTATTTTTGTTCCACTTGTAGAGTCGAGGCGGTTCCTTTTCTTTGATTTCCACGTTGACGTCTTCAGCTACCTTCGTTTCGTTCGGTACACCACATGCTGATTTATTTTTTTTTATTATAAGAATGTGTAAAATATAACGGTTTAAAAGAGAATGTTTATTTTGTGAGCTACTCTGTGACATTCATTTCTTTAAGAATCCTTGAATATTGGTATGAAGTAGATATTAAAAAATAAAGACATTAACGTGAGCTCAGGCTTCGACGATCGTTGTGTTTGTTTTAGCAATGGATTTGATCATGTCATGGAGGTTTTACTGTATTTTGTAGAGTAATAACATTAAAAAAAGTTAAAAAGACAGTTGGAAAAAAAGAAACACATAAGTTTACTATTTGGCTAATTTGATAATCCATCTGTTTAATTATAATTGTAAGGTGCATTGTTGTTGCACTGACTGTAGGTATATTAATATAGAATTTTTTCTATATTAGAAAAAAAATTATTATAAAAAAAATACAAAATCTGTTTTGAGAAAATCTAAAAAAATGGAAATTTACATGATTTAATTGTTAAATTATTTGTAAAAATTACATACTATATATATTATATACACATGTATTATTATTATTGAAATAATTTATTACTACATAAATTAATCACTAGGTCCACAAATCCTGTGTTAACAAATATATAGTGTAACATAAAACATAAAATATATTTTCAACATTAAACCTCAAAACTGAGGGGAATAAATCACAAATAGTTATTTTCAGATGAGAAGTCTATTATTAAGAGCAAAACCATTCAAGAAATGTGTTGAGATGAGATTTCGTGACCTCTAAAGAGATGAAAATGACACACGGACATGTTAACCCACGCGTTTCCACTTTCCATCACTAGATGGCAGAAACACACTGATTTGATCAGCTTCAGTCTATGGATTGAGTCAACCTACATGTTTTACACAACACGAGCAACCCACTGCAGATTTATGGCCAACTGTAGCTGAATTTGTGGATTAAAAAGCATGTAGGCTAAATATAAAAGGATCTGTCTGGAGCAAAAGGCCCCTGAGGGTTTATAATGACATAATGCAGATAAAGAAGCAATAAATGATAGGGATATTTCATTAATTCATCTAAATTGTGATTGGAGCATGTGTCACTTTTCACATTCACTCATGGAAAACAACTCGTTTTCTGCACCATCAAGTGTTTTTGACCACAGCTGGTCTTTAATCTTTGTTTTTGGGACCCATATCATTCATTCAACAGTTATTGGAAAAAAAAACTATTAATTTCTCATCTTGAACAAAACTAAAAATCCTAAATTTTTGGACTCAAAATGTTTTCTAATTTCATGGATTTTCAACATGCATTTTTTTTTCCCCAAAAAGTTTAAATCATATACCATGGTTTTACCATCACTTTGCATTTTGAGTTCTTGAAATGCAGCCCACATTGAGTTTTTGTTTTGTAGTTTGAGAATAATGATTTTTGAGTGAACAGACGAGCAGACTCCCTTATATTTTGATGCTTTGGAGATTTAAACATTAACGTTAATGAAGAAAGACAGCGTGGGTTAGTCATTCATGACATGCAGATGTGGATGTGTGTGTTTGTGTGAGAGGGCCGATTTGAGTTTTAGACCATCGGAGTGAGGACAACCTTGTAAAGTGAGGACATTTTGGCAGGTCCTCACTTTCTGAGAGCCCTTTAAAGGCCTGTTTGAGGGTCAAGACTTGGTTTTTGGGGTCAAGTTATAATTGGGTGAAGGGTAGGTTTAGGGTAAGGGTTTGGGTAAGACACTTAGTTCTGATAGGTAGGTTTAGGGTAAGGAGCTAGAGATTGCATTGTGTCAATGTATGTCCTCAAAGATAGTTATACGGAGTTGTGTGTGTGTGTGTGTGTAGTCTTCACAAACATCTCCTCTGTCATCATGATACTGTAATAAAGATGCTTGACATTTAAGAGTGTTTCAGAACAACGCGACATGATTAAACGTATCAATGACAGTCACGATCACAAAAACCAGTCCAGAAATAACATCTGAATGGAAATCATAATGTTATCGCTTCAGCAAGCACTTCTGCCATTGCTGCCTTGGATTTGTCCTTCACAGTGCATTGACACACGACAGAAAACCCTGTTCAGCTCTTAAACACAAGAAGCCCAAATCTGATCGCACAATGCGTGTTGAAAAAGGTCACATTTGGTGAAAATGTGCTTAATTTCATTAAATAACATAATGCTATACAGTGCACAAATAAAAATTGCAAGGTTTTCTTTACTCATTTGATTTTGTGGTGCAATACGAGCTCCAACAGTAGGCTAATCAATCCGTTGATTTGATGCAGGATCAGGTCGAGATCTTTCTGGCTTCTCAGCAGATGCTGCGCTGCATGATGTGATTCAACCTTCTTCTCGATCAACTCTAATCATTTAATGAAATCAGGGTGGAATTGAGATTGAGACACTCCAGGCCCGCTCTTTAACTCGAGGCTTTGCTCAGATTGATGCAGTAGAAGTTAGATTTTTGGGGTTTCACACTCAGATGCATTCCACCCAATTTTCTCTCTTTTAAAGCCATTTTCACACTCTCTCAATAATCACACACTTTCCTTCAGTCACACTCTCACACTTTGTCTTTCGTTTCGGGCTCAAATGGAGGGTTTTTAAGCTCTCAGTTAACGCGAAACACCTGCAGCCACTAATGAGCACAAGCACACATTTTTTTTATCGATATTTTTAATTAGCTTTTATATTTTCCGTTTTCATTTTAATTTTTAAAGCTGTAATTTTGTTGTGTTTTGTCATTTTTATGTCTAGCACATATGGTTTTGATTCATTTTAGTTCAGGTTTAGTTTCAGTTATTTTAGTAGGCCACTTAAAGTTCAACTAAACGAAAATGAGAAATATTTCCTTTGCATTTATATTTTATTTGATCTTAGTTACTTTTATTTGAAGTAACGAAAATGTTGTCTTATGGTTTTAGTTTTAGTTAACGAGTTCCAAACATCATCAGAAGAGGGAGAAAAGCACATGTTCACAATCAATACTGGCATCATGCTTATTAAGTACTGCACTATTGAATTGTATTGTATGTGTGTATATATTTATTTATTTATTTTTGCATATACAAATTTTGCATAGTATGCAGTGTACATACTTCTAAAGAATTAAAAGTAGTATGGAAGTTTGCTCCAAACCAGAAAACCACTACACATTTTATTCATTTTTATACATATTTTATCACACTTGATTTATCAATATCATATGTATATATATATATGTGTGTGTGTGTGTGTGTGTGTGTGTGTGTGTGTATATTAAAGGCATAGTTCACCCCAAAATTAAAATTTGTTGAAATTGTTCTCACCCTCAGGCCATCCAAGAAAGCATTTTTATGGATTATGGACTTGTATTTTGGTCAGAAGCAAGAGTTTGAAGTTACTGATGGATTTGTTTGAGCTTTTGTCTTCTCCAGATGTTAACTGATGGACTGGAGTGCTGTGGATTACTTGTGGATTATTGTGATGTTTTTATCAGCTGTTTGGACTCTCATTCTGACGGCACCCATTCACTGCAGAGCATCCATTGCTGAGACACTGATGTAATGCTACATTTCTCCAAATCTGATGAAGAAACAAACTCATCCTAATCTTGAATGGCCTGCAGAGTGAGTAAATGTTCAGTAATTGTTCATTTTTGGGTGAACTATTGCTTTACTGATCTGTTAAGCATCATCTAATGTGACACTGTTAATGCCATTAATGTTAAGCTCTTATGAAATGTTATATAGTCCTGTCATAAATAAGGAAGCATATATTAGTATTTATTCAAGTGCATGTAATTTTTTGCACATTTTTTAATCACTGTCCAATTACTCTTGCTGACAAGAACTTAAAAGTCCCAATTACTGTCTGTCGTCTGAATGCTGAATGTTTCTGCATCATTTCAGAAACGCCATGAAATGAGACGCAAGGAGGAAAAAACACTGAACCGTGTGATTATGAGAGAGCGAAAGGATCTTTACTAATTACTTGGAAAGATGTCACTATAATATTTCTGACTTCTGAGAGTCTAGCATGCCGCTTTATATTCATAAATTCACAAAAACTGTGATCCAAAGGATATTAGGAAGTTTAAAATCTGAAATGGCTGAAGAACAAAACTACACACAAAATAATTGTCCGTCTTTTATTGTCATTCAATGGAATAAACCACATAAAGTAAAAAAACTAAAGCAAAAAGGTCAAGTTTCTGTTTTTCAGTTAAGATGCATAAATAGTACAACAACTAGCAGGTTTCCGTGTTCAATAAGACAGTCAAACCAGGATCTTATAGTGTATATGTAGTAAAGTAAAGAAATAGATCACCCGAAAATCATCATTTATTCACCTAAAAAAAATTATTTATATATATATATATTTACCTGGCCAAAATATATTTAAAATAAATGCTAAATATGTTGTAAACAGTGAAAATTAATTAAATATATTTGTCAAATTATTGAAATATATTTTGTTTTAATTTTCATATACCAATATTTATTTCAAAATGTATTTCAGGCACAAGAAAATACATTTCCAATCTTACAGGAGCCTACATTTTGGCTTTATTCATTATTTATTTGTATTCAAATGTGTTATATGCTCACACGTTATAGACAACAAATATTCAAATGTGACATATGTGAATATATTTTCTTGGATTATAATATATGGGGGGCTTTTTAAAAATGTATTTCTATTTTTAAAAGATATTTTCAAAAATATAGAAATAATGACCAAAAAATCTATTGTCAGAAAATATATTTACTTAAATATAGTTTGAAACATATTTTAGTAAATATTTTTTTTTGCCAATTTTTTGTATATTTTGAAATATATTTGAAAAAATAAAATATATATATATATATATGTTATATTGTTATTATTATTATAATTTTCCTCTATGGTTCAAACGCATATGACATATGTCTGAAACGACATGAGCGAGTAAAAGATGCCAGAATGATTAGTTTGGGTGAACTAGTCCTCTAAACGCCTTTGGGCAGGTTTACAGAGAAATGAAAGACTGTACATCTCCATTAAATGTCTATTCTATTCACACTCGACTCGAATATTTCAAACTTTCCTTGAGAAATAATCTGTGATCGACATGTTCTTTGCAAATCAACTGACATGCTAAAAAACATCTCCTAATCGGCATGCAGCTTCATGTTCCAGTATCCAGAGAAGT